ATCCTAGATGACAAGTCCCACATGCAAGCACCGCCCCCTACATCACAGGCCAAACGACGGGACAATGACCAACCAGGATATCAATCAACACCCTTGCCTGCAACAAAAAAAACAATCCCAGATAACAACCCCCCTTTGTGCTCGCCAGCATAGACACCCTATCTATCATGGTTCCGACGCATACTTTGCTGGTCTAAGCTGAAACACTGGGACCACCACCAACGGCAAAAAATATAAAAGACTGGGACCACCACCAACGGCAAAAAATATAAAAGACTGGGACCACCACCAATGGCAAAAAATATAAAATAATGGGACCACCACCAAGGGCAAAAAAAATATAAAGACAATCCCAGATAATGATTCCCACCTAAAAGCACCGCCCAGCTCCTTCAATAGGTCGAACAACGGGAACCAGCCAACTAGGATGCCAAAAGGATAAAAAAAAAAGAACCCGGATGACAAGTCCCACATGAAACCACCCCGATGACAAGTCCCACATGAAACCACCGCCACGTGGACCGAACAACCCACATGAAAACATGGCCACGTGGACCGAACAAGGAGACAAAACCATGAAAACATGGCCACGTGGACCGAACAAGGAGACAAAACCAACCGGGATGCAGACAAAGGTGCCAAAAATACCGACAATTCTGCCATAACCATACTTAAAAAACGGAATCATACAGTAGGTCTGCAAAACGAAATACCCCAACAATGGGGAAGAGCAAAGCAAAAAAAGAGAAGAAGAAAGAAGAAAGAATGATAGAAAGGAGAGTCTACCATAACCAAAGAAAGAGCCTGCTAGTACAGGCAGGACGCTCGCCGCATCATCTACAAAAGCAGAAGAGAGCTAGCAATGTCGGAGTGTATATCGTCACAAAGATATAAGAGCGCAGAAGCGAAAAAAAAACAAAAGGAAACAAGAAAGACATCAATTCATTTTTTATTTTCTTACTTACAACTCCCCCTGTTGAGAACCTCTTGCGTATATATACACACACACAGGGTTGCCAGCATTCGGGACGGGCCGAACGCACGAGCCCGAACGCCCGAACGTACGGGACCCCTTCGGAAGGCGATCGGCCGTTCGGGCCGAACGCGGACCAAAAAAAAAAAAACAAAAAAAAAAACAAGTTTTCAAAAAATTCCGAAAAAAAAGATGTTATGGAGAAACATAAACTAAACAACATTTGCCTCGGCAGTACATGCAAATTCTTTACCAATTTTGAATTAAAAATCAAATACAGAAAATAAACACTATGATAAAAATAAGAAAAAATAAAAAGAGAATTAAAATGAGTGAGTGTGCCAACACCTTTTCGACACCGCCATCTTTGCCGAATTTTAATTATTTTTTGGCATTGACAAATGCCCTGAAAATTTACAGATATGTAGTTTACATAATCAATAACTCATTAAAAAATTTTCAAAAAATAATAAATTGTTTTAGGCCCCGAAATAAAGTGAAAACAAAAAGTTAAAAGTGAAAAAAAACAAAATAGTGAGTSGGCGAGCACGTTTTGACACCCCCATCTTTGACGATTTTTAATRTTTTTTTGGCTTAGCAGAATGGCTTCAAAATTTATAGGCGTGCAGGTTACATCATAGAGAACTCACAAAAAAAAAAATCAGAAAAAAAAAGTTATTTGTAGGCCCCGAATTTTTTTTTGGCGAGGGCCGAACCTGGAGGTGTTCGGCCCCCGAACGGGACCCCGAACGTTCGGTCAGGTAACCCTGCACACACATATACATACATATATATCGTCAAACAGAACTGCCCTGTAAACCGTAGGAAGAGAGGGAGAAGAGGAGGACAACAAACGAGGGTTCAGCCTCCTTGTCACAGGGCCAGGTTTCTTTTTTTGTTTGTTTTTGTTAACTTCATGAATCAGCTAATCGATCAATCAATCAATCAATCCATCAAACCAGTTGATTGGTGGACTGATTGGTGGACTCATTGGTGGACTGATTGGTGGACTCATTGGTGGACTGATTGGTGGATTGATTGGTTGATTGATTGATTGATTGATTGATTGATTGGCTGATTGGTTGATTGATCGTCGCCCACACACGCACAAGGACGCACCTTTGTTATTTTCAGTTCTTTATTGAAAAAGATTCCATTGAATAAACAACAAATGCAGTTTGGGTGCAGCACCCGCATGTTCTCTCGTGAACACGGTGGTAGCTGCTACGGGGTTCCCCGTAATACTTGGATTAGTAGTAGTAGGTAGGTAGTGTAAGGTGAAATTGAGAGAAGAATTTAGCTTAAGTCTTTAAACAAAAAAAAAAAAGAAAGTGCAGGCTGCGTACTTCTGTGTGTGTGTGTGCCTGAATGTGCGTACGCGTGTGTGTGCGCGTACACACACACACACACGCGTACACACACACACATACAGCCGATTGATTAAATCGTTTCGAATGGATTCAATTTGATTGAATCGATACAATCAAATCAATCCATTGCATAGATTTGAATCGACTCAATAGAATGAATCGAAACAACCGATTGAGTCTTTCTTTTCTTTTGGTGTGTGTGTGTGTGTGTGTGTGTGTGTGTGTGTGCGTGCGCGTGGGTGCTGTAAGCTCTCTCTCTCTCTCTCTCTCTCTCTCTCTCTCTCTCTCTCTCTCTCTCTCTCTC